AAGTTAGTATAAAAACTTAAAGTAGATTTTTAACGTAATAACTATATTTCCAAGATGGCATCTAAAATAATCCATAGAGACAGGAAATAATAAGTGTACTAAGGTTAGGCAATGGCCTACCTCCCCTTATTTCTGTTCTCCCTTATTCCAATTAACATACTGCTAGGCTGAGTTGAAAAAAAATTAGTAATTGTTGGAATTGCTTTGACTACAGTCATATAGAAAGTGTCCTGTAACTACATTAAATGTCGTATGGTACCAGAGTTTCAATCAAGAGTTAGACAATTTTGATTTGTTGACTTCACTCATATCCAGAGTCCACAGAAGCAGGTAGAAGGTTGGACAATTAAGAATTCAGCATGAAGAGTGCCAGCTGATTCCTGCTGACTAAGAGTTACAAGAAACTGATTCTCAAGTCTGTAGGCAACAGGAAAGAGGACATAGCATAGCATTCATGAATGATTCTTGGTTTCTCACCTATATTTCCCTTCCCTTTTTCCCTCCACACACACAAAAGCCAGCAATACTCTAGTGGGTTCAATAAAGTGTTTGTACAGTGCTTTGTGCATAAAAGATACACAGCACTGATTAGTGCTGTATGAGTTTGCTAGGGCTCCCACAACGAAATCAAAAACATTAGGTGGCTTAGGCAACAGAAGTTTATTTTCTCACAGTTTTAGAGGCAAGAAATCAAGGCTTGGGCATACTGGTTTTCTTCTGCAGCCTCTCATTCCTTCGCTTGTAGACGGCTGTCTTCCGCCTGTGTCTTCACATGATCTTCCCTCAGTGCATATCAATGTCTTAATCTCCTATCCTTCTTAGGATACCATTCCAGTCATAGTAGATTAGGGTACATTGTAATGACCACATTATAATCTAATTATCTCTTTAAAGACCCTGATTACCAGTGTTTTGAACCCTCCAAATGTAGTCACATCTGGAGACACTGGGGGTTAAGACTTCAACATACAAATGTGGGTCCTCCTCAGAATTTTTTTTCTTCTTTAAGTATATTTTATTGATTATGCTATTACAGTTGTCCATTTTTTTCTCTCCTCTTTATCACCCTCCCTCCCACCAGCATTCCCCCATCTTAGTTCATGTCCCTGGGTCATACATATAAGTTCTTTGGCTTCTCCATTTCCTACACTATTTTTAACCTCCCCCTGTCTATTTTGTACCTATCATTTATGCTTCTTATTCCCTGTACTTTTTCCTCCATGCTCCCCACATCCCACCCCTACTGATAACCTGCTATATGATCTCCATTTCTGTGATTCTATTCCTATTCTAGTTTTGTGCTTAGTTTGTTTTGTTTTTGTTTTAGGTTCAGTTGTTGATAGTTGTGAGTTTGTTGTCATTTTACTGTTCATAGCTTTTTATCTTCTTTTTCTTAGATAAGTCCCTTTAACATTTCATATAATAAGGGCTTGGTGATGATGAACTCCTTTAACTTTGCCTTACCTGGGAAGCACTTTATCTGCCCTTCCATTCTAAATTAAAGTTTTGCTAGATGGAGTAATCTTGAATGTAGGTCCTTGCCTTTTGTGACTTGGAATACTTCTTTCCAGCCCCTTCTTGCCTGCAAGATTTCTTTTGAGAAATCAGCTGGTAGTCTTATGGGAACTCCTTTGTCTCCTTTTCTCTTGCTGCTTTTAAGATTCTCTCCTTAACTTTAATCTTGTGTAATGTAATTATGATATGCCTTGGTGTGTACTTCCTTGGGTCCAACTTCTTTGGGCGTCTTTTACCTTCCTGGACTCCCTGGAAGTCTATTTCCTTTGTCACATTAGGGAAGTTCTCCTTCATTATGTTTTCAAATAAGTTTTCAATTTCTTGTTCTTCCCCTTCTCCTCCTGGCATGCCTATGATTTGTATCTTGGAATGTTTAAAGCTGTCCCAGAGTTTCCTAAGCCTCTCCTCCTTTTTTTTTTTTTTTTGAATTCTTGTGTCTTCATTCTATTCTAGTTGAATGTTTATTTCTTCCTTCTATTCCAAATCATTGATTTGAATCCAGGTTCCCTTACCTTCACTATTGATTCCCTGTATATTTTTCTTTATTTCACTTTGCATAGCCTTCACTTCTTCCTCTATTTTGTGTCCATACTCAATCATTTCTGTGAGTATCCTGATTACCAGTGTTTTGAACTCTGTATCTGATATGTTGTCCATCTCCTCGTCACTTAGTTCTTTTTCTGGGGTTTTGCTTTCTTCTTTCATTTGGGCCTTATTTCTTTGTCCTAGAGCACCTGTTACATTGTAAGGGGTGGAGCCTTAGGTATTCGCCAGGGAGGGGCAACCCACTTCCCTGCATTGTGGCACTGTATGTAGGGGAGGGGGAAGGGAGGGAACAATTCTGGTTGCTCAGCTCTTGCCCCATTTTCAGTCACTTCCCCTGCTAACCACAGCAAATTGGGCCATTCTGGTGCTGATTTCTAGGTGGGTGGGTTTCTGTATATTCTAGGACCCTATGGGTCTCTTCAACAAACTCTCTGCAAGGCTGGCAGTTTTTCCCACCACTGCAATTCCCACAGCATTTCACAGCCAGAGGTTTTGAGGCTTTATTTCCCCGTGCTGGAACCCTGGGTTGCATACTCCATCTCACTCCCCAATTGCTCCTTGCAGCTTATCCACACACGAATGTGGGATAGTCCCCTCTGCCACTTGCCTGATCATCACCTTGCCGCTCATCCTCTCTGTCCCTCCTACCAGTCTGGATGAATGTTTCTTTAACTCCTTGGTTGTCCAACTTCCATACAGTTCCATTTTCTGGCAGTTCTGGTTATTTTTGTTGCTGTTGTTTTGCTTTGTTTTTAAATTGGTTGTTGCCCTTGTTTTGATTGTGCAAGGAAGTAAAGTGTATTTACCTACACCTCCATCTTGGCCAGAAGTCCCTCCTCAGAATTCTTAAGTGTAGTCCAGACATCCATATTGTTTTTTTATCAAGCTTCTTAAGGATTATTGCATACACCCAAATTTGACCATTGACTACAACCTGGATGAACAGTTCCATAAGGTTTTTTGTAGCCCGGGATGAACCTGTCATGTCTCAGTACTGAAGGGCATGGGAACCCAGAGAGCCAGAAATGTGGCAGAACCAGGATTGGCAAAGAAGGAGAAAAGAACTTAAGTAAATGATCTACAATAGATATGAGCATCTCTATGTTCTCTTTATCATTAAAGATTATAAATAATAAATATTATTAGCTCTCACTGGTGTGGCTCAGTGGACTGAGTGCCAGCCTATGAACCAAAGGATCACCAGTTCAATCCCCATTCAGGGCACATGCCTGTGTTACAGGCCAGGTCCCCAGTAGTGGGCATGTAAGAGGCAACCATACATTGGTATTTCTATCCCTCTCTCTTTCCTTCCCTCTCTCTTTCCTTCCCTCCCCCTCTCTCTAAAAATATATAAATAAAATATTTAAAATTAATAATATTATTAATAAAGATTAATATCATTAATAATCTTTATTAAAAATTCACTCTAATACAACATTACTGTTGTGACTTCTGTCCAAACAAAGTCTTTCTAGAGAGGTAATACATAATGTGCAGAAATTTGTGGTTAAGGTATTTTAAAGGGGAGGGCTGGATACAATCACAAATGATGATCATTTGCTTCATAGCTATGGATTCAAAGTCCTGGGCCACATTTATCTCATCTTCTTTCCCTCTACTTCAAGCTGCCTCTAGAACAGCCTGCTATACATTTTCATAAATCTCCAGTCTTATAGTTCATTAATAATATCTGCAGAATTATATTTCTTTACATCATTAAACAGTACTGGATTCAAAGTAAAACCCAGTAAAACAATCTAATATAATTGTTTTTAAAATAACATACTTCAAAAAATTAAATAAATAAAATAACATACTTCATTTTTATATTTAATCCTTCATGCACTTGAATATTCTACCTCTGCCTTCCATCTACCAAATATTTTTGTAGGCCACAAACAGTGCTAGGAATGTAAAATATAACAATAAATAAAACATAATCCCCACCATTCAGGACAGCAAAGTCCAGGGAAAAAATGTGTAAACAATAACCACAAGGGAATATGCTACATTATAACAAGATATCCACAAGGTGCTACACAGCACAGAGAAGAAAACTAATATTGCCTAAAGGCAGAGCTTCCAAATATAGAATGAAGGGTATAGTCAAGTATCCTGACAAGGATGCAGTGAAGTACAGGCATAAAACTGAGAAAATGCAAGACATGTTTAGGAAACAGAAAATACGATGGTGGCTGTTAATAAGAGGCTTATAGGGGTGGGAATTATGGTGGGCCGTCTATGCTATGCTAAATAATGACCATGTGAACCAATCAGAGGAAGTCACTGACAGTTTTGTTAAGCATCATCAGTACTGTGTTTAAGTTCCCCAAGGTGTAAAATTCTCCCAAGGGTTGCCTCTGCTCCCACCTTCCCATGCAGCTGTTCTCCTCTCCAAAGCCCCTACCCCTGCCTTCCCAGCCCCTTGTTGCCTGTGCTGCAGCAGTCAGAGGTACTTGCTGTTCTCTAAATATGCTGCATTTGTTCTCAGGGCTGCTAATGTCAACCACAAGAGTTGAGGAACATCTAAAGGTATGGTAAGTCCAGTGACAGCAGCTCTATGATGGAATTTTCAACAATTAAGAAAAATACTGGACCATTCATGTTCTCTAAATTTTTTCTCCCCCGCCCCCATTGAACTTTGTTTTAATGGATCTCAAAATTCTGCGGCAGATTTTTGGTCAAGTCATTTTCATTAAAAAGTATGGATTTTAAAAACGAATAACTGAAACACTGCCACACACACACACACACACACACACACACACACACACACGGTCCAAAAAACATTCTCCTTTCCTTTTGAAGGTTTTACAATGCGTTGTAATCACTAACCAGTCCTTTACTATTAAACTTAAGTGGCCATCTGAGACAAACAGTTCTGAGATTGTTTTTCCACCACTGATTAAGACTGGGGTGGCAGGTGTTGGGGATAATATTCATTTCACCTTCTGAGCTTTCTGGGCAGACCTGGTGACTTTGCCAGCTCCAGCTGCCTTCCTGTCCCCTGCTTTGACGACAGCAACAGCACCTGTCTGTCTCACGTCACGAGCAGTGAAGTGGACTAGAAGAGGATAGTCAGAGAAGCTCTCAACACACATGGGCTTGCCAGGAACCATATCAAAGATGGCAGCATCACCAGATTTCAAAACCTTTGGGCCATCTTCCAGCCTTTTCCCAGAACAACGATCAATCTTCTCCCTTAGCTCAGCAAATCTGCAAGCAATATGAGCTGTGTGACAATCCAGCACAGGTGCACATCCAGCACTGATTTGGCCTGGATGGTTCAGGATAATCGCCTCAGCTGTGAAGCCAGCTGCTTCCATTGGTGGGTCATTTTTGCTGTCACCAGCCACATTGCCACAACAAACATCTTTGACAGACACGTTCTTGACATTAAAGCCTACACTGTCCCCAGGAAGAGCTTCACTCAAAGCTTTATGGTGCATTTCAACAGACTTTACTTCAGTTGTAATGGTGACTGCAGCAAAGGTGACCACCATGCAGGGTTTGAGAACACCAGTCTCCACTCGGCCCACAGGGACAGTATCAATGCCACCAGTTTCGTAGACATTCTGGAGGGGCAGAAGCAGGGGCTTGTTGGTTGGACAAGTTGGTGGCAGAATGCAATCCAGAGCTTCAAGCAGCATGGATCCACTGGCACTGCCATCTTTACAGATGACTTTCCATCCCTTGAACCAAGGCATATTAGCACTTGGCTCCAACATATTGTCACCATTCCAACCAGAAACTGACACAAATGCTACTGTGTCAGGGTTGTAGCCAATTTTCTTAATGTAGGTGCTGACTTCCTTAACAATTTCCTTGTATCTCTTCTTGCTATAGAGCAGCCCAGTGGAATTCCTTTTGTTAACACCAACGACCAGCTGTTTCACACCCAGTGTGTCAGCCTGAGGGCACGCTCACACCAGCAGCAACAATCAGGGCAGCACAGTCAGCCTGAGATGTGCCTGTCATCATGTTTTTGATAAAGTCTCTGTGTCCTGGGGCATCAGTGATGGTCACATAATACTTGGCTGCTTTCAAATTTCCACAGGGAGATATCAATGGTGATACCACACTCACGTTCAGCTTCCAGTTTATCCAAGACCCAGGCACAATTAAAAGAGTCCCTCCCCATCTCAGCAGCCTCCTTCTAAAATTTTTCAAGGGTTCTTCTGTCAATCCCACCACATTTGCAGATCAGATGGCCAGTAGTGGTGGGCTTGCCAGAATCTACATGTCCAATGACCTTGACGTTGATGTGAGTCTTCTCCTTTCTCATTTTGGTTTTGATTTAGTGGTAGTTTCCATGACACCTGTGTTCTGGCAGCAAACCCATTAAAAAAAAAAAACTAAATTTTTTCACTTACTGCCCAGTTGTGTCAAAGAAAAGTTTAACGTGTTTGTTGTACATCTGGTACATCCTCGTAACCATCTGCAGGGAAGGACACTTTTCACTTCCTAGGAGAAGTTGGATGGAAAGTGATAACATTTAAAATGGTGTTCTTCACTATTTTTGTTTTATTTTGACTTTTTCCTTTTAAAATCAGACTTTAGTTTTAACGAGAGAGTAGGTAAAACATCCCATTTTGCTTTTGATGCCTCCTGGCAATAATTTTTCTTTTCTCTGCAGACATTCTTAAAAGGAAACTTTAAAAACCTGATTTTCTTTCTATATACCTTGTTTAGCAAATAGGATTTTAGCCTTAAAGCTCACCCCAAAGAATAACAAGTAACACAACATAATAGAAAATCATAGAATTTTAGACTCAAAAGGCCTCAAGAGAGAATTCAGTGATGTGTTTAAAAAGTTATGGTTCCTTTAAAGTTCACATTAATAAGGGCCTGCTGGTACTAATCATCTGGTATCCCAGGTAAAAATGTAGCGAATGCTAGAGTTATAACCCTGAAAGTTGAAATCAGAGTAATATCATTCTCATACTCTCCAAATCATTTTAAAAAGTTATGAAGGAATAGAAGTAAAAGTTTTGCAATTCAGTGAATGTAGAGTTATTAAATTCCTGAGAATTGTATTTTATTTCTTCTGAATCAACTAAGTCAAGGAGAAAATATAATGCTCAAAAACATGTAGCAAACGTGACCAAATTAAAGTATGATTCAACAGATGTTTCAATTTTTCAAGATGTTAAGGAGTTAATGCCCAACCTCTCACCTACTGTGGGAATTTCCAAGAGCATCCCTAAAGCTTAATCATTCAGTCTCTGCTGAAATATTCCCACTGTCTCTTTTTCTTTCTTTCCATGTCTTAATTCCCTTACTTTTTCTCTCTTTCTTCTCTCCATCATTATGTTTCTCAAGGTAAATCACAACTGGCTGCTGTAGATGATTCAGGCTACAATTCCAATCCCTGAAAACAGTGTAGAATTCTCCCATTCACCCAGAATAGGAAGATCGGAAAGTGTAAAGTAACTCAAAAAGATTAAAAAATGGAATATAATTTGCCAATGAAAAGAAATGAAGTACTAACACATGCAATGATGTGGGCGAACTCTGAAAACATATGCTAAGTGAAAGAAGACAGTCCAGAAAGGAAATTACAATGAAGGTTATAGAACAATCAACCTGGAAAACCATATCAACCCTGCCTGAGCATAAGTCTTACAACTAAAGATGCACAGAAGAAGCCACATCAAGATTTGCAGCTACGAAGTAGTCATGGGGATCTAAAGTACAGCATGGGAAATATAGTCAATAACATTTTAATAACTAGGTATAGTCCCAGGTAGGAACTGAAAATATCAGGGGGAACACTTTGTAAAGTAAATGACTGTCTAACCACCATGCTGTACACCTGAAATGAATACAAAATAACATTAAATACAAATTGTAATTGAAACATTTTTTAAATTTTTAATAAATTAAATTTTTTATTCTTCACTGCCTTTACAGTATGAAGATAGTCATAACAGCAACAATGACCACAATGATAATAATGAAGAATTCACTGAGTGCATATCATGTGCCAGCTGGCTCCTTAAAATACATCCTCATTTCATTCTCAGAAAGTCTCTGGAATATAGATTCTATTACTAATCATTTTTAACATACATTATTCCTTTTAATCCTCACAACAGGATTATTTCCCCAAGTTACACATGACAAAACAAACTAGGGCTGGTAAAATAAACCATTTCAGCTTTCACAGCTAGAAAGTTACAAAGCTATGATTTGAACTTTGATCACTGCAGATGGCTGCGACTTCAGAGGCAACCCTGTAGAGGCAACTGGGTCTCAGTGAGCTAAAAGAATCTTACCTTACACCCTGGCTTGTGTGACTCAGTGGATTGAGTGCCAGCCTGTGAACCAAAGGGTTGCCAGTTCAATTCCCAGTCAGGGCACATGCCTGAGTTGCGGGCAAGGTCCCCAGTAGGCAGCACATGAGAGGCAACCACACATTGATGTTTCTCTCCCACTTTCTCCCTCCCTTCCCCTCTCTCTAAAAATAAATACAATCTTTTTAAAAAATAAAAAAAGAACCTTGCATTTGTGAACAAACATCTGATGTAGTGGGAAAAATCACAGAACCAGTAGCTGACAACCAGACCCAGTGTGAGTCACGACACAAACTAACCCAGACAGCCAAATTCCAATTGCTTTGTCTTCAAGTTTAGAAATTGGACCAGAGAGCTTTCCAGGTATTTTTGGCTTAAAAATATATTTAGTTCATGATATACTTAAAATTGAGTCTTCTGCCCACAACTTTGCCAAAAGAAATGGTTTATTTCCCTCCCTATGTCTTTGTGACTATAACTGGAAAAAGAAGGCATAATTGAAGTCTATTTATGAAGTTTGATACTACACATTAGCAATAAATCTCATGATTTATTAACTTATTATGAAAAAATGTTAAACATATTCAAAAGTAGACAGAATAGTACATACACCCATCTTCAAAAATCACTAACTCATCTCCAATTTTGTTTAATCCATATAGCCCTCCACTTTGAAGGAAATCCCTGCTATCAAAACAGTTCTGTAAATATTTCAGTATGTATAAAAGACAATGAATCTGTATTTTTTTAACATTTCATTATATATTTTTTATTATAGAGAGGGTAAGGAAGAAAGATAGGGAAGGCAAGAATCATTAATGTGTGACAAAAATATCAATTGGTTGCTGTCCCAGGCAGGTGCCCCAACCAGGAATCAAACTGGCAACCTTTTGGTTCATGGGATGATGCCCAACCAACTGAACCACACCAGCTGAGGCTGACTCTCTTCTTCTTTTTTAAATATATTGTATTGATTATGCTATTACAGTTGTCCCATTTTTCTTCCCCTTTATTCCCCTCTGCCTTGCACCCTGCCTCCCACCAGCATTCCCCCACCTTAGTTCATGTCCATTGGCCATGCATGTAAGTTCTTTGGCTTCTCCATTTTCAATATTATTCTTAACCTATTCCCCCTGTCTTTTTTCTACCTACGATTTATGCTTCTTATACCCTGCACCATTCTTCTCCATTCTCTCCGCTCCCTTTCCCTGCTCATAATCCTCCATGTGATCTCCATTTTCACAATTCTTTTCCTATTCTAGTTGTTTGCTTAGTTTTTGTTTTTGTTTTAGGTTCAGTTGTTGACAGTTGTGAGTTTGTTGTCATTTTACTGTTCATAATTTTTTATCTTCCTCTTTTTCTCAGATAAGTCCTTTTAACATTTCATATAATAAGGGCTTGGTGATGATGAACTCCATGAACTTGACCTTATCTGAGAAGCACTTAATCTGCCCTTCCATTCCAAATGAGAGTTTTGCTGAATAGAGTAATCTTGAAAGTAAGTCCTTGCCTTTCATGACTTTGCATATCTCTTTCCAGCCCCTTCTTGCAAGTTTCCTTTGAGAAATCAGCTGACAGTCTTATGGGAACTCTTTTGTAGATAACTCTTTCCTTTTCTCCTGCTGCTTTGAAGATTATCTCCTTATCTTTAATCTTGGATAATTTAATTATAATGTGTCTTGGTGTGTTCCTCTTTGGGTCCAATTTGTTTGGGACTCTCTGGGCTTCCTGGACTTCCTGGAAGTCTATTTCCTTTGCCAGATTGGGGAAGTTCTCCTTCACTATTTATTCAAATAGGTTTTCAACTTTTTTAATATATTTTATTGATTATGCTATTATAGTTGTCCCATTTTTCCCCCTTCACTCCCCTCCACCCTGTACACCCTCTCCCACCCATATCCCCCCCTTTAGTCAGGTCCATGTGTCATACTTATAAGTTCTTTAGCTTCCACATTTCCCATACTATTCTTACCCTCCCCCTATCTATTTTCAACGTACATTCTATGCTACTTATTCTCTGTACCTTTTCCCCCTCTCTGTTCCTCCCACTCCCCTGTTGCTAACCCTCCATGTGATCTCCATTTCTATGGTTCTGTTCCTGTTCTAATTGTTTGCTTATTTTCTTTTGGTTTTGCTTTAGGTGTGGTTGTTCATAATTGTGAGTTTGCTGTCCTTTTACTATACATGGTTTTTATCTTCTTTTTCTTAGATAAGTCCCTTTAACATTTCATAAAATAAGGGTTTGGTGATGATGAACTCCTTTAACTTGACCTTATCTGAGAAGCACTTTATCTGCCCTTCCATTCTAAATGAGAGCTTTGCTGGATAGAGCAATCTGGGATGTAGGTCCTTGTCTTTCATGACTTGGAATATTTCTTTCCAGCCCCTTCTTGCCTGTAAGGTCTCTTTGGAGAAATCAGCTGACAGTCTGATGGGAACTCCTTTATAGGTTACTGTCCCCTTATCTCTTGCTGCTTCTAGGATTCTCTCCTTCATTTTAATCTTGGCTAATGTAATTATGATGTGCCTTGGTGTGTTCCTTCTCGGGTCCAACTTCTTTGGGGCTCTCTGAGCTTCCTGGATTTCCCAAAAGTCTATTTCCTTTGCCAGAATGGGTAAGTTCTCCTTTATTATTTGTTCAAATACGTGCTCAATCTGTTGCTTTTCCTTTTCCCCTTCTGGTACCCCTATAATTCAGATGTTAGAACGTTTAAAGATGTCCTGGAGGTTCCTAAGCTTCTCCTCGTTTGTTTGAATTCTTATTTCTTCATGCTTTCCTGCCTGGTTGTTTTTTTCTTCCTTCTGGTCCACTCTATTGTTTTGAGTCTCAGTTTCCTTCCCTTCAGTATTGGTTCTCCGTGCATCTTCCTTCATCTCTTTTATGGTAACCTGCATTTTTTCATGTAATTTGCGCCCCAAATCAACCAATTCTGTGAGCTTCCTGATCACCAGTGTTTTGAACTGTGCATCTGATAGATTGGCTATCGCT